AAATCCACTGAGAGACCCATATGTGGCTCTATCTCAAGCACCAGCCAGCAAAACTGCCTGCCAGAATGCTCAGATGTTGCTATCTTTCCAAATCGTAGGACACAGCTATCTCCAGGTATTTCATACTTTTTTGAAAATTGATGCACATATTTCTTGTTGAAGGTTCAGAAATACACCAGCTGCAATCCTTCTGGAGACCAGTTATAGGATACATTACGTTCACACTTTGCTGTTCAATAAATGTGGGGTGGAGAATGAAGTAAGCTAACAAAATTACCATATAGTACACCTTAATAAAATTCTAAGTGCTCTGACAACATAAGATATTCAATACACACACACACACACACACACATAAATAAATATATATTGTTCCCTGCTAATCATTTTACAAGGAATCAAGTAGCTAGCCCAGGACCCATATACTAGCTATTAGTAGAAGTACAAACACTTGGTAAAAGAAAAATACATACATACTGTGTGAATTTAAAATGCTTAAGTATCCAAAGACAGGAAGCAAATTACAGTTACTGATAACATCATTCTAAGTGAACTGAGGCAGAGAAAACAAAGGTGCTAAAGAGATTTGAACCACCTAAGCTGCTGAAACCCACTGGATGGATTCCTTGGTTCTGAGTCTTTCAGAATGATCTTCTAGAAGAGATCACATAACACTGTTACAAAGGACTTGGGGAAAAAAAGGACCCCTGCTTTATCACTCTGGCTCTCCAGTAATACTTTACATTTCACGGTGACTATTTCAATTCAATTCAATTCCCACCCCTCAACTAGCTGACATTTAGCTAATGCTACCATTTTCCAGGTCTAAGTGAGTTTAACAACAACAAAAAAATGAAGTTATTAAGGGATACACCATTCATAAAAGAGAAACCTAAGTCTCCTATTTATATATCTGTTCCTTTCAAGGAAGAGCATAAAAATGGAGATGGGGGAGGATAGACAAGCACTAGGAATTTGACCTTATATTAAATATTATAAATTGGCCAAATAGATGAAAACAATGATTTTTTTCTAGCCTGAAAGTACTACTTACGTGCTTACCATGACAGTTCTGATATTTTCAAATGTTTCTCCATGAGTTCAATTTGGAAAAGTAATCTGTCCCACGAGAGTAAACTAAAGAAAAGGTCTTAGATTCCTTAGTCAAGATTTGTTCATTATTTCCTTTGTACAACTTTGGCTGGACTACTTTTTATCAAGGTAAAGACTAGAAAAATGAAAAATGAAATTCAGAGCATTGCCTCATTCCACATGAAAAGCTGTTACAAAACATTTTTAAAATAAAGTGTTATTCAGCCACAAATGACACCAGCACTTTTCTATTTGTAGGGAACAATATGGTTGCCAAAGCGCTTTTCTATATATGCTCTCTTGCAGGGCAAAAAGTTTTATCTATTTTATAGAGAAACACAGTAAAATAAGTGATCACTTAAAGTCTTAACTACTAAGTAAAAGCTAAACCTCTCTCTTCCCCCTATATTCAGAGTTCCAATATTTTTAAATTTAGTATTTTGCTGTTGGAGGAAAGGACTTTTGGGCAATGATGAATAGAAATTTAATTAGCTAACCAAAAAACTGTTCCACCAAAGGTAGCCTAGCAAACAGCCACTCAGGCAGAAAGAGTAATGATTTATGCTATATGAATAATATTTAAAAATGAATTTTCATCTGTTTACCAGGTATTTACTTTCTGGGGGAGATTTTTTACCTCAAAACTGCAATTCCCTATTAAGAGTCTCCAGATGACAATGAGTCCATAAAAAGAGTAAAATGGAGTTGCCAAGTTAGGTTAAATACTTCAAAAGGACTAGCTAGTAAAAGTTTCTGTAAGGGATTATTCAGAAACTAGCATGCATGTGTGTAAAACAACTAGTGTTTTACACACATGCATGTGTGTAAAACACTCAAACATTACAGAAACTGTACAAGGATGCTTCTTGGTGGGCATGAAGAACACAGGGCCTGGCATGTAAAAGAGCTAAATATTTATGAGCAGTCTAAAGAGGAAAAGTTAAAAAATAGATCAAACTCATTACCTCTCCCTCCCACCCTCTCCAGTAACAAGATCTTACTCCTGTCACCCAGTCTGGAATGCAGTGGCAACAATCATAGCTCACTGTAACCTTGAACTCCTATGATCAAGCAATCCTCCCACCTCAGCCTCCCAAAGGGTTGGGATTATACAGGCCAGAGCCACCATGTCAGGCTTTTTTTTTTTTCTTTAAACAACTACACCTTTTTTGAGAATAACAAATCACAAACCCAACAGACAGCTCCTGGCACTTGAAATCCAACTGCATTTTTTTCCTTGCTCTTTCCAAGCAAAGGGTATCAATATAAACAAGCCATGTAGATTTTATCAAAACACTCATGTTTAAAAGAGATACACAACGCAAATTTATAGATAAAGTGATCTGTCGGGAATTTGCTTCAAAATAGTCCCAAGGTGGAATACAGATGAAGTAAGATTAGCCAAAAGGTTACCACTGTTGAGGTTGGGTACATGGAGGTTATCTACACCATTCAACTTTTGTATGTTTAATGTTTTTCCATAATAAAAAGTTACACACATTCACACTGAGCATCTACCAATAATGTCTGTCATAATTCATTAGCACCTCAATTTTAATAGTTTCTACTAGCAATACCATTATACTAGTCCTCACCAAATCCTCCATTTGCCCAAAGTACCCAAAGAATCTAATTCACTTCCTGCTCCATTTCCATTGCCCCTACCTAATCCAGATCATCACTCATTATCTCTGTTTGCAGCAGACCCCTATCAGCCTCCAATATGGTTCTCAATGGGGCACTGCTGGCAATTTAGGTGTGATAGATAATTCTTTGTTGTGGCAGACTGCCTGAATGCCATTAATACAAAACATTTGCCATCCTTGTATCCCTGGCACTAAATGCCAGCACAGCAACACACACCCCGCCCCCCACAACCTCCACTGGAATAACCAAAACCACACACACATTTCCTAAAGCCACCCACTGCAGAGAACCTCTTCTAGTCTTGGATGACAAACACATTTTCCCAACTTATCTGAGTAATTTAGTAGCTCCACGCAACCTACAAGTTCAGTCTCCTGTCATTTAAACCAGCCCTACCTTTTCCTGGCCATAACTCAGCTTCTACCAGAATAATCACCCTCCAAGCTATTCAGGCCAATCTCATTATCATCATCTACTTCATGCTTGCTACTACTACCTATTTTCCATTCTTAGAAAATCTTCACCAGCTTTTATATCCTGGGCTTCTCAAATCTGAGCATACATTGTCTACTCCCAAGCAAACCACACTTTCTCAAACTTTGCTGTGTTTTTCCCGTGGAGTTTCCTCTGCCTAAAATGCCCTTCCGTCAGCCTTCCAAAAATTGTACTCACCTGTGGAAGCCCAACTCCACTCTCCGCCTCTCCTCAAAGCCTTCTCCAAAGAGCACCTCCCAGCCAAAATTAGTTGCTCCCTTTGGCTTTCATAACGGTACCACTGTAGCTGTCACACTTTGTTGTATAAAGCCGTCCTCCACACGACGACTGATTTCTGAAAGTGAGACTGCTCTGCAGTTTTGCAACACCAATGCCCAGATCACCCAGATGTTCAATAAATGAATGATTTCCTCAGTACAGCACTTTATCGTACTGTGTTTTTTAAAATTTTGGGGGAAATACACACCTTCGTCAATGACCTTAAATACACATCTTCTCATTTAAGGTCAATGACCATAATGTCAAGGCTTTTGCAAACGCCCACCACATTGTAGGCTCTTGGTTTAGCCATATTTAACATGTCAGCTGCCACGGGGGTTGTATTTGACTCACGCTACTTTTGAGTCCCAGGCCTCGCGCAGCCAAACCGGGGCAAAACCCTGAAGTTGGTTCGTGAAAATATTACTTGTTGATATTATTATTACCGTTAATACTCACAAATTAATTCCAAAAACGTATATTAAATGAATAGAATTTCGTTTTTCATTAAATTAGAAAAGATCGGTTCTTTTGAAGTTTTTATTCTATTTTATTGTTTTCTAAGTTATATTCTATTTTCGCAATAATCAATTTCACAACGAATAACTCATGATACATTTTTACGAAGAAACTTAATACTTCAATTTTTTAACTTTAATACTTCAATTATTTTACCAAGTCTTGGAGTTTCTAATGAGCTTTCCCGCTAAACGTAAGCTTTTAGCGTGTTTTCCGGCTGTGGTATAACACGGTCTTCCCGGGCAGCAGACCCGGCACGTATCTCCTCTCACCTGCCGGCGTCCGAGGCCCACACGCGGCGGCTGCACACACACACCCGCACCCGCCCCGCCGGGTGGCAGCGCGCCCGTCGGAAACGCTCCGGCGCGGGGCCAGGCGAGGGGAAAGGGTAATTCTAACAGCACTAGACGCTGCACTCGAAACTTTTTTTCCTTAGATGAGTGTGTTTTCAATATTAGTTTTTCCTTAAACGCAAACTTAAGAAGAACTGGTTGAACAAGCAGGCGCGAGGGAAACCTGTCTGAAGAATGAAGCACTAAAACTTAAGGGCTGGGGGGCAAGCAAAAAACAAAAACTAAAAACAACAATTTAAAGGCCTTTCGCTCTCCCCGCGTGGGCTCAAACAACAGCCGGAGCCGACGCGCCTGGCCGCGGTCCCCAGAGCAGGCCGGCTGCGCGCGGCCATGGCGACCCGCAGAGGCGCGGATCCCGCGGTCTCCCACCCCGGGGCGCGGCGACGGGGGCCGAGAGGGGCCAGCAGCCCCAAAGCCAGCCCCGCGAGAAGAGCCAGAGCGACGCGCCCGCCGCCTCCTCCCACCCCAGCCTCGCGCAGTCCCGGCGGGGCCTGGGCAGGGCCACACGCCGGGAAAGGGGCGGGCCCGCCCCGCCCGGGGCGCCGGGGGCCCTCGGGGCAGGCTCCCCTTTGTGCGGGGACTCGGGGCGCCCCATCTCCATCCCGCCGGCCCCACGGGCTGCGGCCGGCGCCTCACCGTGATGTTACAGTGGAGCGTGAGCGGCGGCGGCGGCGAGTGCGGGCTGCCCGGCGGCGCGGGCGGCGGCACCAGGAACTGGCAGTGCAGCTCGTCCAGCTTCCAGCTGACGATGCGGAATCGCTCGTGGTTCTTGTCGAAGATGGACGCCAGGAACTTCAGCTCGGCCTTGAGCCCTGACACGGACATCTTCCCCTCATCTCCGGCGGGAGGGGTGCGGAAGGGGAGCCCGGTCCGGAGCCGCCGTCACGGCCGCGACCGCCCCGCGGGGCCGGCCCGGGCCGCGCTCTCGCGGCTCCGCCTCTCCCCGCAGTCGCGACCCGCGTCGGAGCGCGGCTGGGAAATGGCGAGGGGCACAGGGCCGCGGCCGCTCCCTTTGTAACCGACTCCACCGGCAGGCGGTGGCGGCCCCGCGGCTTAAAAGGGCAACAGTGACACCGCCCCCGCTACCGCCTGGGAAAAGGCTGCCCCCACCCCGCCCCCATCCCTCCCAGTCCCGGCGCGTGCACGACGCGGCCAGCGCGCGCCCGGCCGCCCCCTCCCCGCTGTGACCCAGCCCCCTTCCGCCCGGCCCAGCAGTCTGCTCCTGGCATCCGCGGACTGGAGGCCGGGGCCGGCGGGCGCCGCCGTCCCGGGACGCCCGGAGGAGCGGGAGACCCCCGCGCGCCCCACCCCGGCCTGGCGCCAGACGCGTGCGCGGCCTATTGCGCCGGGCCTGGGACGGCTCCACGTGGCCCTCGGCGGGCCACCCCCTCACCTGACCCGGGCTGAGCCGGGGTGGGCGAGGGCGGCGCTGGAGACCCAAACCAGCGCCCCAGCTTGATCTCCACTGCTCTCGCCCTAGTCCGAGCCACCACTTCTCCAGCCTGGTTTCCGCAAGGACTCGCTGCTCCCTGTTTAGTTCTCTACGGTGGATGGTGACTTTGGCCCCTGCGGGGCTGCTCCGTCTTGTCTCCCAAGATTTCATCTTTCCCTTAACCACCACTTGTGTTCCCTGTGCCATTTATATTCACCATATATGTAGTGTCTCTCCTCCCTCTCCTATTTTGCCTTGCCCTTTTGCCCTGTTTCCCAAGCTTAAGATAACCCTCTCCACTCCTCATGGAAGCAGGGCTGCCCCTTATTTTCATTAAGGTCTTAGCTCAAATGTCATATCAAAGAGGGCCTCCCTAACTACCCAATTTAAAATAGCCACTCGGTCACCCTGTATCATATCATCCTATGCTAACTTTTTGCTCAGCACATATCACTATCTGATATTTTTCCTGTTTATCTGTTCATTGTCTCTGCCCAATATGGATAGATGTCTTATTCAGAGCTGTATCCCCAGGACTTAGAACAAGACTTGTTATATAGTAGACACCCAGTATTATGGAATTGAATGTTCACTCTTATCTGGAATCCCAGCATTTAACACAATCCCTGGCAAGTGTTCCCAAAATGAAGGACTGCATAGCAATCCAAAGAATACGACATAATTGTGCAGGCGATAATGCGCAGGACTGGCTTCATGGGCATGTAACCTATGGAGTTGCACAGGGCTCCCAGTTTAGAAAAGCCCTAAGCATGGTTTAAAGCTCTGCTATCGCCATCTTCAAATTCTTAACTTTTCAACATTTTTCTTTTAACATCAGTCTTACCTAGAAACAGTCCTGGTGCCTAAATGTCTCCCCCTTCATGATCTACAAGAGGTCCCTGGTCCCCTTAGATGACAAAATACAGTACAAAACAGGGAGAATTAAGGCCACTGAATGAGGAACAATTTAAAAATTTTTAATTTTCATTTCCTTCTGAGATATTGTATCATGTTATAGTGCTTCTTAGATTTTAAAGGGGTCACAGACACCTTTGAGAATCTAAAAACCGATGATCCATTTTCCACGGAAAGTCCTTCTGCATATAAAATTTTGTACTTACGAGGATTCAAGGCCCTGGCACTAGAGGTACACTGGGCCTAGGAAGAGAAAGGGATCCAGTCCTAGGCTCTGAATCTAGCAATAACTAGGGTGCTGTACTGGTGTATTGCTGGGTTAAGCACAGGAGCTTGTCACTTTATTTTTCCTTTAGTCACCAGTATTCTTGGGACCCTAATAGGCATGGTGATCTCAGGCAAGGATTTGAGACAGAGGGGAACAAACTGTTCAGAATTTGATATGACTGTGAGAAGTAATATGCCCTAAACAAGTTATTTAATCTATCTAGGCTTTATTTTGTCATCTCTAAATTGCTATAAGAAAATAGAGTTTTATAAATTCCAAGTACTTTTACTAGTTACATCTCAGAAATATAAACAAATATTAATCCCACAATCAGTTTTGAGCATCTGCTGCATGCTAAGCCCTGAAAGGACTAGAAAGATTCATAGATACAGTCCCCAAATTCAAGACCCTTAAGGTTTAGAATAGGAAATAAAACATTGTTTCCTCGTGCTTTAGTCTGCAAATAATAGAAAACTGATTTAATGTACCTTTGACAATAAGGAAATGTATTACTTCACATAATAGGAAGTCTAAAGGCAGGACAGGCTCCAGGATTGATTGATTTGAGCCTTAATATCATCATCAAGAGCCCGGATTCTTTCCATCTCCTTTGTCAGGGTGACAGCAAGGTGACTTAAGCTGTTCTTGCAGGTCACATCCAGACATGACAATATCCAGAGGCATAAAGGACATTTTCTTCGAAGTCTCCTTCTAAGACATGGAAACTTTTCCAAGAATTATCCTAGTGGACTTCCCTCATGTGCCACTGGCCAGAAATGTGGCCCATGCCCACCCTACACCAATCAAAAATAGATGGCATTGCTCCTTGGATTCCCGTCATCTGGGATGGAGTGGCTGCTAGAGTGTCCACAATGTCGAATGCAGATACCTGAGTAAAGAGAACAGCAGATCATATCTGATATGAGCTCCAAACCGAACTACATATCAGAGGAGGAAGGAATTCATGCCATATATCACTTGCATCAAAATGTGGCCATATTCAGAGGACATGTGAGAGCCTGTTCAGTTATACAGTACAGCAAGGGGCCAAGAGAAAGATGAATTTGAGATGTTATTTGTGACCAGATTTTGGAGCTCTGAAATACCATGCCAGGAACTATAATGTAGTTTCATTCGGTGAGAGTCTTTTTTTTTTAAGAAGATTAATCTGGCATTAGTGTACAAAATGGGTTACAGTGGGTTTAACACTGTGAAGTTGCCACCAAGAAGCAGTAAGACACCTGGACTCTAGATCTGGCCTGCCATTAATTCAATGGGGTCAGTCACACCCAGCTCTGAGGCTCCCCAGTTGCTACTAAAAGCCTTTGGATCAATCCAAGTCAATAGTGAGAAAAACTGAAGTAAGAGAAGCAGCAGTGGGAATAGAAAGGACCACACTGACTCTAGGGACATTTCTGAAATAGAACTGCTAGGTCATGGAGGTCATGAGGGGATAGAGGGAGAAGAACACTTTGAAATTCCTAGAGCAGGTGGCTGGAGGGAGATCCATTGACACAGCCAGGAAGATGTTGAATTTGATGTGCTGATGGGACTTCAGGTAGAGAATTTGTGTTTTAGGTCTGAAGTTTATAAGGGAGTCAGGGCAAGGGATATGTAACTAGGTCAGCCACACAGGGGTGATGGCAGAAGCCATGGCATAGGTGTGACCATTGGGTCACAACCTGGGCTGTTGTGACCCAATGGTCACCTAAGGGACCCTAAGGAAGGATCATCATTGGCAGATGAAGGGGAAAGGAGTCATTTCAAGATGTCAGAGGATGACCCATGAGTTGAATTATTTGTGGAAAGGACAAAAAAGTTCAGGACCCCAGAAAAGGCCATGGGCTTTAAGAATTAGGAGGTCAATGGTGTTTTTAAAAAAACATTGCAATAGAATGGTAGGCATAGGGTCAAAGTGATGTGGAAGTGAAGAGAGTGTACATAGACTAGTCCCTTAAAAAGTTTTGTAGTAATGAGAAAGAGAAATGGAACAATCATTTGCAATAGCAAAGCAAAGGGTAGCTTTTGGGTTTGGTTAGGTTTTTATTACAGGATAGACAGAGGTAGACTTACCATGAAGTAAGCTTCAGGGCCCCTTACAGTTATGTAGGCCCTTTCTGAGTATGTTTACTTTTCTGAGTATAATGTTACTTTTGTTCCTAATTTGGTATTTGTAATTTTGCATTCTTTTTCTTGAAGGGGGCTCCCAAGATTGAATAGCTTCAGGCCCTACAAACCCTGGATCTGCCGCTAAAGAGAAAGCCATTTATAGGCAATGAAAACTAGAGACACCGGGGAAGAGACAAGGCCTACTGCTAGGTCCTGGTGAGGAGGCAAAGAATGGAAAAGAGTTACTCAAAGGGAGTCCCATTCACAGAGGCCTGGGGTTGGAGAGAGAATTGAGGAAGACACAAAGAAATGTTGAGTTAAACTGGAGGATTGTTGAGAGACATGAATAACCCTGATTTCATTAAGGCAAGTTTGGGGATTGGCAAGACAGATAAATACAAAAGCCGAGGACAAGTGAGGGCTGACAAAATTTGGTTGAAAACTCTGATCATGGAGTCTCACCTAGAAGTACATGAAGGACCATGAAACCAGGATGGGGTTAAGAGTCTGGAAGTCTCCAGGAAGACAGAGCAGGTTCAATGTGAAAGAAGGAATGAGAGCTGCCAAAGCCCATACAGTGGAAGAATTTCAGACTTCAAGAACTTCAGTGTGGAAGAATTACCAATGATATCATGTTCCATGCTATTCTGTTCCAACATACCCTTTAAGACTATGCCCAAATGCCATCTCTTTTATCACGGCTGCCCTAGTCCCCCAAATTGAATATTTTTCCTTTTTTTTTTTTTTCTTTTAGAACCACGTATGTGGAAACAAAATTGAATTTTAATCTCTCTTTTTCCTGAATTTCCCAGCACTTTGCCTGTTTTGCCAGCATTTATTTCATTCTGCCTTGGTTATGACTAGCTGGTTTCATATTTGTTTCCTCTGCTGGATTACAAAATTCTTGTCTTAATCCTCTTCATTCTGTAGCACACAGCCCAGACCCTGGAACATAGAAAGTGCCCAATAACTGATTGTTTTTTTTGTTTGTTTGTTTTGAGACAGAGTCTCACTTTGTTGCCTAGGCTAGAGTGAATGCCGTGGCATCAGCCTAGCTCACAGCAACCTCAATCTCCTGGGCTCAAGCGATCCTACTGCCTCAGCCTCCCAAGTAGATGGGACTACAGGCATGCACCACCATGCCCGGCTAATTTTTTGTATATATTTTTTTAGTTGGTCAATTAATTTCTATTTTTAGTAGAGACAGAGTCTTGCTCAGGCTGGTTTCGAACTCCTGATCTTGAGCAATCCGCCCGCCTCAGCCTCCCAGAGTGCTAGGATTACAGGTGTGAGCCGCCGCACCTGGCCCAATAACTGATTGTTAAGTGAATATAGCTTATTGGAAGCGAAAGCCACATAACATCTTTAGTTAGAGAGGCTGCAAGTAAATTGTTAGAGAAGTGATCTAGTTTCACTGAACTCTCAGGGCAGCTGTGAAGATCTCTCCCTGTCTAAAGTGTGCACATATCAGCATGTGGCCACTAGGCCCAGACAACCACGGTTCTACCCAGAGGCACAGCCCATCCCTGTTGAAATGAACAAGTGACTCATTATCCTACTATAGCCAACTCAGCCAGAAAGTTTTCTAAGCTAAAATTTTCTCAAATTTGGACTCTGAATTTGGAATAAACCTATCTTTGATTTTTGTTTTAGTTAGCAATGTCCATCATTTCTCTCTTGCCTGTATTGTAAAGAGCTTTCAGATCAAGGTGCAAACACCTTGAAATTGTATCAGTTTGAAGTATATAGACATATGAATGTCATACTGAGAAGGTCTAAAACAGCACTGTTCAATAGAACTTTCTGCAACGATGGAAAAGTTCTACATCTGCCACTACTAGCTCCATGTGGTTACTGAGCACTTAAAAAGTGGTTAGTGTAACTGAGGAACTGATTTATTTTTAATTAATTTAAATTTAAGTAGCCACATGTGGCTAATGGCTACCATATTGGATAGCACAGTGCTAAATTATTCTATAATACACATATAACTTGGTACTTTATAAAACATGTCTATCCTTCCTTACTCATTGAGAGTAGTGACCAAATGTTACTAATTATCGTATCTTCAGTGCTTAACACAGACTCAGTGCTTAATAATGTTTGTTAAATGAATGACCAAAACAACACCCAATTTCACTTTTTCTCTGAACTTTTCCTCATTTCTAAAATAGAAAGGTGTGCTCTAGCTAAAAAAAAAATTATAAGATTTTAGTTAGCAAATATTTACTTGTTGAACACATATTTACTGGGCACCTACTATGTTCCAAACTACTTCATCTTTGTAGCAACCTTAGGAAACTATCATTATGCCCCTAAATAACTTGAGTTTCAGAAAAGGGAAATAATTTGCATTAGATCATGTAACAAATAATTGAAAAAGTCAGAATTTTAACCCAGGTCTGTCCATTTCCACTATACTGCTGCTTCCATATAAATCATATAAATATAAACGTAAATATTATAGATAAACATAAAATAGCAAATAAATTAGCATCGAGTGGTCAGTGTGGCATAGGAAATTCACTGGATTAGAATACATATCCTCCTCTTAGGAAGATCCACAGTTCTATAAATAGATTCTTGGTTGCTGAGTGAGAGATGCCAGCTACTGCAGGGAGAAGGGAGGCTGTTCCTCCAGGGAGGCTGCCCAGTACAGAGGGAGGCCCTCCCAAACCCAGTGATTGGGGCGCTGGGGAAAATCGACCACCCTGGGGTCTACTGTAGTAAATTGCTAGGAAGCCTTTCAGAGGATTATTTCCCCTCTGTCACCAGCATATGAAAGCCTCAAATAAAAGATTTCCTCCTCATCTTTTCCATAGTCACATTCATATAAAATGTTCTTTTGGAATGTCTAAGGCTACTGAATGAACACATCCAGCTCTTTCTAGATCTAGGTTTAAACACCTTTGACCCAATAATTTCAAATCTAAGCATTTACCCTAACAAACTAATTAAACATGTATATCAAGATTTAGTTACCAAAAGTGAGGGCAGGAGCAAACAGTTATGAAGCCATTGGGGAAATTGGAACATTAGATATTTGATGATAATATGCAATTATTGTTTAATTTTTTTAGGTGTGACAATAGTATTGTTATTACTATTAAGTTTTTTAAATGAGGGTCTTTATCTTTCACATATATTTATGGGTGAAATCAAAAACAAAGATTTGGTTAAATTATTTATTCTAGTTCTTTTTATAATAGTAAAAGACAAGAAAGGACCCAGAGTCTTAGAATTGGACGTACCCTGTGCTGGGTGTTGGCACATCCATACAGAGGGATAACATGCAGTCATTAGATAAGGACACACCAAAATGATAACAGTGGTTGTTTGGGGTAGTGACTTTTCAGGTGATTTCAATTTTCTAGCTGTTTATATTTTCTGAAATATTTATTTTGAGCATATGTTATTTATGTAATTAATATAAATACCTAATTTTATATTGGTTTAAAGACATTTAAAGTAGAGAAAGGTAAATTATAAAAGAATTTTGCGAAGACATTTTCGAGGGCTAGTAAATACATGGCTGTTGTTTTTTTCTATTGCAAAAAGACACCTGAAAGAGATACAGCTCAGAGGGTGAATTACAAATACCTGCACTTCAGGGCCCAGGGCAAACAGCCGATTCAATCGACACTTATGAAGTCTTACCTTCCATTGGAAGAATTCCTCCTCCCCAGATCAAGATGAGTGAGGGCGTTTATGCTTCAGGTTTAGGTTAAGGCTCTTAAATAGGCATTTCCTCCTTTGGCATATTTGTACTGGGTCTTTCACTTAGCCTGTGGTCCTTCTCTGCAGAGCAACTGCAGCGTGAAGCAAGACCTGCTCCTGCCTGTGCTCCACAGCTGCAAGGTGGTGCTAGTTACAGGAGGAATTTGTGGAAATGCAGACTTGATTCTGTGTTTGGGGTTTGTCATAATCAATTAATTCATTACAGGATTTTGAATAGCCAAAGTGCCTAGGATCTATAGTCATCTCCCTGATCACATTTAGGTCTCATCTTGCAAGATATGAAAAATTAAGTAATAACAAGCACAATGCTTCAGACTTAATGGGCCAAGGGGAAGATGACCTGGCTCACTCACGATAAGGATATTTTTAACATTTACTGACATGCTTCTCCTGCTAACAGCCCTGGGCTCCACTCAGAGATGATGAAGACAAAACCTGGAAGCAGACTGTTTGTGGTAGAAACCAGAGGAATGGTCAGAGGACTGAGGGCTGGTTCTGCCTCTCTTGGTCACCCTGCATGGAACATGTGGCCAGTCACCTCTTCTAACTGAGTGTCAGCTTCTGCGTGTGTCAAGAGGTGTGTTGGACACGGTTCATATTTTCATCATTCAGACATTTGTTTAGTTTCAAGTATGTACAAGGTGGTTTGCTAACTCTAAAGGGAATAAAGGGTCAAGTTGCTTATAGGCACGAGGGCAGAACTAATGGGGGAGAAGGCTGATGTGTTGATCTGCAACTTCCTGTTCATTATTGGCTTGTGGGCTGCTTCTGCAGGCATTCATGCTCTGGCACTTTCTGCTTGCATTGTGCCTGGCTGCACACAGCCCGTGACAGAGGGCTGCAAGTGTTGGCAGGCAAATCTTTGACTCTTAGTTTTGGGTATTTGTGGTCTCTCTGTGGTTCTCCCTATCCTCAGCCATTATCCCCTTTCATAGTAAGAGCTGTCATTGGACATACGGCCACCTAACCGGAGACATACCTTTTCCAACTTCCCTTGCAGGTGTGTTCAAATAGCTAAGACAAGGACAGTGGGGTACGCCTGGAAGGGGCGTGCACCACTTCTGAGTCTCGCCTTTGAAAGGAGAGGGCATGCACCACCCTATGCCCCACACCACTTCCTGCTTCCTCCTGCGGACAGCAGCGACCAGAGCAGCCAACCTGGACTCTCGGATGGAAGCCACGTATTGATGAAGGAGCCGCCCTTCCAGCTCTTGAGCGGGTTTCATGACTGCTGTGTAAGAGAGAAATAAACTTCTTCCTAGTTTAAACATTTTGTGGTCTCTTTGTTATGTCAGCTTAGCTTGTTCCCCAACCAGTACTCTCCCTTTCTCTCAGGACTGTTTTATTTTTCCTTTTTAAACTTATTTTATTACTTTTTTTGGATCATGTCTTTTAGCATGACTCCTTGCATCCTTCCAGGAAAGAGGCAAGTAATTTTAAAAAGTAAGGAACAGCTAAACTCTCATTAATGATATCTGCCATATTTGTGGCTGCCAATCATTATCTCTTTATTTTGGGGAAGGTTCTGTCAAAGAGAAACAAAGCCAGATATTAGTTAACATGGTGAAAACAGGTTTTATCCAGTAACTACTGGCAGTAGGGACAGAGCTGAGCTCCATCCCAATCTGTGCAGAGGTGCCTGGGCATTGGAGGGTGCCCAGAGAGTGAGAGAGAGGAAGGAGAGGCAACAGGAATGAATGAAGAATCATGGGGGGGGGGGGGTCAGTGTAAAGGAGATTAGGCCAGTGTGTCCACTGGCTGGCAAGTGTCACAGTTAGAATTCTGTCCTCCCACTGAGGACGGGAGACAGAGGTACAGACTTCCTTGATGATTACATTTCAAAGGAACGGCTTTCAGGACCTTGACAAAAACACTCCTGAGTATGGGAGATACATATACATCCCAAAGAGAAGAGATAAAGGTTCACAATCACAAGCCTTTCCAGTAAATGCTCTAAGAAGTGGGGGTCGGGGCCTAGCTCAGGTGTTGGCTAGAATGAACGGTACATTTCTTGACAGCCCTGAGCTTTTCCAGCCAAAAACTCAAAACAGGACTGGTTTATCCCAGGGCAGTGCCTCAGGCTGCCAGGAGCCATCAGGGTTTGGTGGAGTCTGGCAGTGCAGGGTTCGAGTGGAGTGCAAAATTCTGCCAAGGGCTTTGTGGATCTCAGTCCCCCCAGGAGGAAGCCCGCCTCCTCCATGTGGGAGTCAGAACTCGCACCCCCAGCTTCCTGTGGCCAGGGTGCGGGCCCTGAACCAGCCAGACTGTGCTCTTGGAGTTGTGAGCGAGCAGGATGAGGAGGCCAGGCCGGGGAGGCCAGCTGTAAGGTGAGAGAGGGCATGAAGGTGCGGGAGGGCGCCGGCTCTGAGAGTATCCACAGGCTGCAGATGGAAGTGCTTGTGCCGGGGAACCAACTGCCCCCGCCAGGGTGAGGCTGCTGCTGCGGTGCATTGCCATCCTGCACATCCAACTGCCTGCTCTTGTCTTCTCCCCTTTGTCTCCCAGGCCTCTCACACTGAGCACGTCCAAACCCTTGGTCTGTCCCTCAGGCCTGCTCCTCTGCAGCATGTCCCAGCTGCAGGCAGGCACCACCCTGCCCTCCTATCTCACGCCAGTGCTGAGTTACCCTTCATCCTTGCCCTCTTTCTCTTCTCTCACACTCAGCAAAGTGACCTCCTAAATATCTGCAGATGTCGTCTTCATCTCTCCCCAGCTCCACTAGCCCTGCCTTGGTCTGAGCCCCCACCCTCTGCCTCCTGAGCTATTGCGGCAGCCTCCTGAGTGACTGCCGCGTCTGCCTTGCTCCTGCCACTGCAGGCTTCTCGGTGACCTCATAAACATCTGTCATGATACTTCTATGTTTTAAAAGCCTCCAGTGATTTCCCTCTGCTCCTAGGACAAAGTCCAGCTTGCTGGCCACAGCCTGCCAGGCTCTGAATGGTCTGACTCTGCCTACTCCCAACCCATTTAAAGCCCTAGACCATTGGTACACCAGGCCACAGGTTTGCTTTTGGTTATTTCAAAGCTCTGTCTCTTTCCTGCCTCAACCTTTGCACATTCCTTTCCTTCTACCTCGATTTCTCTTCCCATCTCCCGGGCCCTTTGCCTCACTATCTTCTACTCATCCCTCAAATCTCAGCTGAAATGTCACTTCTTTAGAGAAGCCTTCCTGGATTTCGCCACCACCACTGCCACACGGGCTAGCTAAGGTGTGCTTTTATCAGCTCCAACAGCACCCTCTGATTCTTGGCATTCATCACATGCGTAATCGTTTATTTGTGTAATTATTTGTTCAGTGTGTCTTCTTAATGCACATAAGCCCCATGAGGACAATGGCCCTTGTTCACTGCTGTAGACCCAGCACATACCACAGTGCCAAGCACATAACAGTGTTCAACAAATATTTGATGAATGAACGAATGAGTGAAAAGATAATGAGTTGGAGAGGCAGCATAACATAGTAGGAACCACACTGGACCAGCAGCCACAAGACCTGGGTCCTAACGCTGGTTTCATTTCCTGAGTAATCTTGAGCAATAATATTAATACATTTCATTAAGCTTTACTGTCCTAGCCTTTAAAACAAAGGGATAAAGGTCTCCAAGATTTTGTTAGTCTCCAAAATGCAGTGGGGATTACTTCCTAGTGCTGATCCCTGTGGCCACGTGAGAAGATGTCTCCACTTGACCTCAGTTCGGAAGGGAAGAGCGGTACCTTTCCCAAGCTTCCCAACTCACCTTTCCCAGGTCCTCCCAATCTCACCACTTCGGGCTTGGTTTGGGAGCAAGTATTCCTGTCATTACTACCAAACCTACAGCTGCCCGACCTACCTGGGAGATTAAGAGATGAGAGAAGTTAGGGTGTCGAGTTTCCAGCAAAGACAGGAAACTGGTTCCCCTGAAACAACTTCCCTCTGAGGCTTGAGAATCACAGGGTCAATTTAATGCCAGTCCCTGGAACGCTGGCTGCCCATACCCATAAGCCGTCCCCATCCTTCCGTGGTGGCAAAGGCTGTTCAGGTGCGGGCAGGGAATGGTGCCCGTAGAAGCGGCACAGCCCTCGGTGCACACGCAGCAGGCTCTGGGATGGGTTGGGGCCGGCTCGTGCGTGGGTGCGTCAGGAATGCATCCCAAACAGACCCTCTCGGCTCGGGAAGGTCGGGATCACACGGCAGTGACAACTGCCTGGTTTCCCCGCCCCCGGCTCCCTCGACCTCTCCCTTCCCTCTTCCCCCACCCCAGGACCAGCGCAGTGCTGCTGCTGCAGGAGAGCAGTCCTGGCCTGCCGCCTCCCTGCGGGCTGTTCTCCCCCGCCCCACCCCTGCGGGCTGTTCTCCCCCGCCCCACCCCTGCGGGCTGTTCTCCCCCGCCCCACCCCTGCGGGCTGTTCTCCCCCCCCTGCGGGCTGTTCTCCCCCGCCCCACCCCTGCGGGCTGTTCTCCGCGCCCCACCCCTGCGGGCTGTTCTCCCCCGCCCCACCCCTGCGGGCTGTTCTCCCCCGCCCCTCCCCTGCGGGCTGTTCTCCCCCGCCCCACCCCTGCGGGCTGTTCTCACCTGGCTCCTCCCCTGCGGGCTGTTCTCCCCCGCCCCACCCCTGCGGGCTGTTCTCCCCCGCCCCACCCCTGCGGGCTGGTCTCCCCCGCCCCTCCCCTGCGGGCTGTTCTCACCCGGCCCCTCCCCTGCGGGCTGTTCTCACCAGGCCCCGGCCCCTCCCCTGCGGGCTGTTCTCCCCCGCCCCACCCCTGCCGGCTGTTCTCACCAGGCCCCGGCCCCTCCCCTGCGGGCTGTTCTCACCAGGCTCCGGCCCCTCCCCTGCGGGCTGTTCTCACCAGGCCCCACCCCTGCAGGCTATTCTCACCGGGCCCCACCCCTGCAGGTTGCTCTCACCCGGCCCCTCCCCTGCAGGCTGTTCTCACCCAGCGGTGCAAGAGTGTGTCTCAAAGCTGTCTCCCAGCAGCACACTTAGATCCAGAAGAGCTGAGAGAAACATATGCCCCAAACATACTGTGGCCCCACTGGGTTACAATACTACCTATGTGAACTGTGCTATCAGGGACTCTCTTCTCACATTCAGGAAGCTAAGGAGGAATTGTGTGAGAAAGAGCACCCTGGAAACAAAAAAATATCACATTTCCACAAAATCTGAGCCATAATATACTTTCTCAGAGAATTGTACTTAATTGGTCACCTTTCTTGAGATGGAGTGACTTGCCAGCTTGCACTACCCAGGGGAGACTACCTGCTTAAGACTGTGCATTATTCAAGCAGAGAACACCTGGCGCGACAGCCACCCGCGCTGCGCCCCCAGAGCCGGCGCCTTTCCCTAGCTTGCACAAGGGCGTCCTGTGAGCTCGCGGGGTCCGGTGGCGATCATGACACGTCTGCAAGACGCATGAGTTCATGTTGTGCCTTTGGTCCTCTCCTTTTCTGAACCTCCTGCAAAACACTATCTTGTTTCTTCAAAACAAGATCTGGTCATTTATTCATCTTTGTGCTGGGCAGGGTGCTTCGTTAGGAAGTTGTATTAGAATATATTTCCCAAGAGAAAACAGAAGGTACTTTTAGATTAAGGTAAGTCAAAGAAGTTTATTAACAAAGTAACAATTTATGAAGTTTATGGGAGAACCACAAGGAAAGGTGCAGTAACCTAGAGCTGCAATTCCCACCGTCCTCCCTACCCCGCCCCCCACCCTGGGACCACAGCAGGTGAGTGGCGAGGGGGACAGCAAAGCTTCACATATTTACATTTGCAGCCGCTCCCCATCTCAGCATCACTGCCTGAGCTCTGCCACCTGCCCCCGCAAACCCAGTCTGTGGAAAAATTGTCTTCCATGAAACTAGTCCCTGTGCCAAAAAGGTTGGGGGGCGCTGACCTAGAGGGAGTAGCAGCCAAGTTGTTATCATCCCTAGACTTAAAGAGACGGGGGCATTATCAACTCCTTGATTGCCAGAAGTTGGAATAAGAGAGAATGAGGTTGAGCAGTGTCATTCAAAGTGTGAATTGCAGATCCATGCAGGCCTGCACACTCACCCGTCTGCGGGATACACGTGACAGCTGAAAGTAGATGTTTAGGCCCTCCTGTTACCACAGGGATCCGTTTGTTGTCTGTGGCAAACATATCTTACTTTACTCAAGAAACTTGACCTCGTGCTTGCCTTAAAAAAAGTAGCTATTTAGAAAATTTCACAGTAATTTAACATTGCCATAATATCAAAGTATGTGATCACAGTCAG